CGGGGGCTGTTTGGTTTTGTTTGACTACTGTCTAGTTGTGAGTATCTGGAGGAGGTGAGCACAAGGACTTCACTCTGCTCCCATCTGCCTCATTTCTCCATTCCTCCGATTGGGGATTTCAGAAGTCTCTATAAAGCAGAACCATCTAGGGAGGTCCTGTCGTTTCTCTTTTGAACACTACCAAACAATGTCTGATGTGGAAGCTGAAAGTAATTTGCTCGGTCGGTTATTCTACCTAGTTTACCTCTGCAGGTCTAGCAAAGGAAATTCTAAAATAAAATATGAATTTGATGGGATTCATATGTAGAGCTTTCTAATTTGTATTCCTTCTTAGTCCTTTTCCATCTCAATACACACACACAAACACACACATATACAGAGAGAGAGAAAAAGAGAATTTACTTGAGAAAGTTAACTCTCTGGAGTTTGAAGTAGCTCTACTCATTGAGGGCAATATTAAATTGGATATGCTAGCTGTTTCCCCTGAGATATCCTGAATTTCCTTCAGCCAAATATCTCTTCCTTTAAATTTATGCTTTCTTGATAGAAAAGGAGAGAGTTGAGAGACAAGGTCCATGTATGACAGGCAAGAATCCCAGTATGCACTGGCTGGGCTGATGGAGGCCCCACGTGTTATCTGTCTTAGAACCTTCCAAGGTTATGACTGTAGGGTAAATGTGGAAACCCAAGAAAAGGTGACAAGCCTTTGCCATGGCACCTGTGAGGCTACGGAAGGGCTCTGGAGCATCAGCTCCGCATAGGCTGGCTGCGTATGTGTGTTGCTAGAGTCAGCATGATCACGATGGAATTACAATTTGGAATTCTGAATTTTTTCAAAAATTAAAGTGCAGCTTTCTAATGTTTGTTTGCCATCCACAAAATATATACTTTCTCTTTGTTATCCTCAAAGGTCTTCATTCTAAATTCTCTGTTCCATGTAGATGATAGGGTCTTCAAAGCACTGACTGATAGCAGTAACATTGCTGTGACTCACTGACAAGGAACTTTCTGTCTACTCATTCTCCAAGTTTGTAAGCTATATATGTGCCATGATGACAGCATAGAAAGGACATTATAGACAGACAGGCAGCTAGTCAACTACCGGTTTCTAGCTGTCGCTACATTGGAGAGCTTGAAAAGGTGAAGGAAATAAACTAGCAATGGTTCCCTGAGCTCCATTGTTTTCCATCCTCAGTTACATGTGGCAAATCATCCAATAACAGACTCTCACCACTCAGCAAGCCATCTCACACATGCCTCTTCATTCTAGATGTCACTTCTTCCCATCTATAAAGTGGGAGAATATTACTGCTGTATAGGCCTACCTCAGTATGGTATTAAAAGGACTAAATGAGAACATGAATGTGAACCTGCTATGGCAAAATTATTCCCATGAATTTAGGGATTTGTCTGGCATAATTTTTGTTGGTTTTGTGTGTGTGTGTGTGTCTACGTTTATTCTAAACAGATAAGCCTGAATAACTACCGATCTTCCCTTCTATCAACAACCCTTATAATCCTGGTACTTATGTTTGAACAAAGCCACATGCAAACAGAAATTCCCCCCTGAAAGTGAGCTCTCATTCCTCATAAGGAAGAGAGTGTTCCTAGTCTGTCACACCACTGCCGTGATGAGTCCTCTGCACCCAGTCACCAGTTCACAAGCAGCTTCCAAATTTCCAGCAGAAACTGTTGAGGGTGGCTAGCGGAAGAGAATGAAGTTCTTATGCACAATATCTTTTTTTTTTTTTTTTTTTGCAAACTTATGAGCTACAGGTTCTGCGCTGCTCCCTTTTTGTAGGGATGCCAGCAAGGTCATTTATATAACCCTATCAGAGGCTTTCAAAATAAAGAAATAAATCAAACAGTTAACACTCCTCCCATTATTCCTTCTCCATGTCTTTTTCTCAGGGAGTTAATTGTGGCCCCAAGCTGCCTCTGTGAGCCCCAGCATTACCCAGCCAGTGCCTTCAGCTGTATACTTCTCATGATGGGACATGATTCAGCCTCCAGATTCCTGCAGCAGACTTTCCTCTAGGAAATGTCCCCCCTTGCTGTGGCTTAGTACACAACACAAATGCTGCAGGTCAGGCAGAATGGTTGGCTTTATAAGCAGAGGCAGTGGCAGTGGCCTGGCTGAGTATCAGGATGCCTCACACGAGCTGCAGTCTCACTATTGGTCCTCACATAGCATGTTGCATCTGAAATGATGCTTCATAGATGTCATCTCATTCCCCATGTCCCTCCGAGGGAGGCAATCCCATGAAATCCACTCCAGAAGAACTGGTGGTTCCTTAGTGGTTACCTCCCCGAGGTGTCTCCTGAGAACATGGGGAACATGGTGAAAAGTTCCACATTTTCTCTTCCATAGGATTAGCTACTAAGAGCTGGACCCCAGGGTTTACCACACCAAGATTCATTTCAAAACAGTTAGTGTTCCCTGTGAGGAAGTACCAAAGTAACTGATCCCGAAACTACTGAGCTTAGAAACTGCCAGGAGCTGCGGAGGTCAGAAAAATGGTCTGTCATGCATCTGCCTGACTAGCTGAAATAAGACCCCATGAAAGGGGCATGGAAGGCTTCCTGGAGGCGGAATGACAGGAACTAACTCTGAAAAGGGAAAAGAGGAAGATAGCAACAGAGGAAAGACTGAGCCAAGGCAGCCTAGGGCAAGGCTGGGAGCTGAAAAAGAGAGAAGTGAGATTATATTAGGAAGCACAGATTAGGTGTAGACAGCCCTTCTCCTGTGTGGTGCTGATATTCATCTTGATCCTTGAGTTAAGGAAGATTTAGCTTCAAGATATGCGTTGCAGGATTTTCACTTCTTTCACCCTCCAAAATGCATACTTTTTTTTTTTTTGGCTACTGTGGTTACTTAAAAGCACTAATATTCTGTAAGTTATTCCCTATTTCTTTAAATTGTGGTAAAATATGTATAATTTAGTTCCTTAACTGTTTTTAAGTGGATACTTCAATGGTATTATGTGCCTTCATAATGTGTAGCCATCACCACCATCCATTTCAATGTGTCTCTTTTCATCTTGGGATAGGAACTCTGTACCCATTAAACACTAATTCCCCTTCTTCCCTCAGCCCCTGCCAACCTCAGCTCTCCTGTGGTCCCTGTTATTTTAACTATTCTGAGCACCCGTACTTTTTGGTAAAAGGAATATCTTGCCGTGAATGGCCACATAGCAGGTAACTGGGTAGATGGTTTACTGCCTTTCAGAAACAGAGCAAAAAAGGCTCTTTAATCAAGGAAGAACAAAAAGGAAACCTCCACTATTCTGGCTGAGGGCTGGCCTTCACGTTTTGTGGCTTTGACACAGGTTCTCCAGAGAAAGAAGAGAATCACTTCATGAATCACAGACAATTGTTCTGTGCCAGGATAGAATGATTTCAACTGAAACAAGCGTAAAGCAAGAACAAAGATGGGTTTGGAGCCCAGCGCTCACAAAAGAAGCAAAGGAGTCCAGGTTATTGGTACTGGAGTTTTGTGTGTTTGTTGATGATTTAGATGCAGGGCCTTGGGGAGATGAGGTAATGCATAGGAAAAACCAGAAAAATTGTGTACATTGTGCAGGGTATGAAGGGGGAAATTCCCACTGCTTTGAGCGCAGTCTTGCCTGCCTTCACCTCCCAAGGCAGAGGCTCGCTGCATGCTTCCTCCCAGCCTTTCTAAGCCGGCCTCCCCAGCTGTGCAGCAAGTCATCCTGAACTGAGTGCAGGACAGGCATTCTCCGTTTCTCATGGCATTTTTGTTTTGTGTGTCAAGCACTTACTAAGCTAACTCTCCCTCCAGGACTTTCTGGATATCTCAGACATTATTCACATTATTTGGACCTGCTTAAAGTACACTCTCAGATTTCTATTGTAAGTCCTCAGAAGGCACTGGACCCAGAATGAGCCAAATGTTCTGGGGGAAAGGAAGGTAGGATGGATGATCAATTTTTAATGTTGGAAAACTGGAAATAAATGAGTATACATATTATTTCTAAGATTTCTTCCAGTTTCCATTCTTTTACAAATCCTCTGAATTGCTCAGTGTTCACTCACAGATTTGAAAGTCTCCCAGCAGCCCAAAGCAAGCCTGAATACTGTCCATCAAATGTTATTGCATATTATTCCGAAAAGGGACCTTCTATCTGAAATTTTTTAAATAGTCTAAGACATCCCACCCCCCAAAACTGTCCTGACAAGCCAAGGCTGTTAATATTGAAAATCCAGGACTCATATTCATTGAAGGGTTTCCTACTGTTTTCACCTTCACTGGAGACTGCAACTTCAGGTGGTTTTATGATGATAAGGCTTCAGCCACACATCTAGTCAGATAAGACTATGATCCTAGGATAATATCAAGTAGATTAAGGCTTCCCGATACCCCTTTCCCATCTCACTCTTGAATCCTACTCCATGTAAAATCCTATCTTCAGTGTCAACCACGGTTTAGGTTTAAGGCTTTGATTCCGAGATTTTAGGGTGGGAGGGCCCCAATAACAAGAGGAAAAGGGCACAGATAAAAGAAATGGAGGTGCCACAGAAAGACCCTGCCAGGCCCATAATCTTTCCCACAGTCAGCCCTAGTAAGCTAACAGGATAAAAACACTCAGGTCTGAAGGATCTTGGGGATATGATGGCCCTGTGGTTTACACTAAGGTAAACTGAGGTCCCTGGTGGAAAGGCACGTTGCCCAAGGACACGCAGCTGGTCAGGCTGCAGTAGGTCTAAAACTGGGGTTTCCTGATGCCCACACAAAAGGCTGTCTTTGAGAGACAACAGAACACAATAGCAACAGTATTTTGGGGGGCCAAATCACTTTGAAATATGAAAACTGATATGGCTGGAAAAACAGAGAGAAATTTCAAAATGGCTTTCTGACTCTGGGTAAACAGTAACCACATTTTTTTTGCCTGTTGGAGGCCTGGTTTTTAATCACTCCACAAGCAGTTTTCATTTCTGTAGTAAAATTGCTTGTGGTTCTATTTAATTTGTTTCTGCAGGAGCCAGCTTTGGTGAAGATCTCCGAGGAGCTGGCGGGCATTTTAGCACAGCACGCACAGCCAGTCAATGAGAAACGGTTCCCGACGTGGAGGAAATTCCTCCAAACATTTCTCAGTCAAGGTAAATAAGACTGTAAAGTTTCTATTGAGGATTAGCCTACACAACCTAGAATTCTAGTTCTGGGTCAACCTGGGGCCAATTTAAATATCTCTCATTTGTTGTGTTGCCTATGAAAAGTGCTTCTCTAAGCAGACTTGAGTCATTTTTAGGCTTTGCCTAAATATTTATCTTGTACTTAGTCTTTTAAGTAAATAGAAACTGAGCATGCCAAGCATGGCATGCATAGCTCGAGATTATGTCCACCCCTACCCCCTTTTTTCGTATCAAAAACTACTCCTGAAGGGTGGCTTCTGGAATGAAACGACCCAGGTCAGGATCTCATCTGTGACCTTGAGGAAAGTTCCTAAACTTTCAGAGGCTCAGTTTTCCCACTTACCTACTTCACAGGCTGTTGGAAGGATTCACTGAAATACAGGTATATACATTTCTACCAAAAGCCTAATTCAAATGTTTTTTTTTTTAAAAGATTTATTTATTTGTGCATACAGAACTGGGGTACAGGCCAGAGGCTCAGGGATGGTGAGAGGCTTCACCAGAGACAGAGTGGGGAGCAGAATAGGCAGATTGACGAAGTACACTGCTGAGGGGAGCAGTGGGTGGGTCAGGAGAGGTCTGCCACACCATGTGGTCACCTCCGGGGCAGGCGGGGATCGAACTCATGCGGAAGCGGCTTTAGATTCTCAGTGCTGTGTTTTAACCCGCTGCGCCACCAGGGAGGGCCTCAAATGGGTTTTTAATAAAGGTTAGTTTCCTCTGTAATTTTCCAGGAGAGCAGAAATGATCTCACTTCTAATTCTAAAGCAGCAATTCTTAAAAAGGATCCTCTACCGTCTGGGAACAAAGGCAGGCTCCATTCTTTTCATCCTCCTCCTCCTAGTTTATCCTCATTTTCTAAGGAGGTTAGGAGGCCTGTGAAGGAGGGACTGAACAGATAAGTGGTATTTATCTCCAGTTGTCAAGGTCCCTGGGAGAGGGCTACACCCACACATGCACTCTCTAGAAGGTTGCAGTGTAAGACAGATCTCTTTATATGCTTGTCCACACATAACACGAAGTTAGTATAACAGGTCACAGAAGATACCTTTCCCTCTATCCCCTGCCATAACTGTAATAATATTTTATGAGCATTCACATATAATAACATTATGCTAATATTGTATTGGATGACAGCAACAGTAGAAGCCACAGCACAATGAGTATGACATAAGTACAGCTAGTGCTAATCATGTTCCAGGCACTATTCTAAGTATATAGATACTAATTTACTTGATTTTCCTAACAATTCCATGAGGTGAGTGTCATTATTTACCTGTTTTATAGAGGAGGAAACTGAAGTACAAATGATTAAGTGACTTGACCCCAAAGATCACTTCATTAGTAGAGTCAATGAAAGGCTCATATACTTAGCTTGCTATATGAGAGAATATCAGAAAGGATGGAGCTGTTGATTGTTGAGATACACTGGGTGGGTAGGGAGTGAGGGGAGGGTGGAGAAAAAAACTCTGTTAATAGGTTGTTTAATCTGGGGATTGGATGACCAGCCATGTAGCAAAAATGCTGAAGAGATTCTTCACAGGGAGAAAGGGGGTGGGAGGTCATGCTGCATGATCTCCAGTGTCCACTCAAGTCTAAATTTCTACGATTCTACAAAATTCCACATACACTCACTGATGGAAAAGTAAAACTAAGCCCAATCACATGCTTAAGTGAAAGAAACTAAGGTATCTATATTAAAAAATCATCAACAGGGGATTTCTGAAATTAAGAGGGAAAGACCATAAAATTCTCCAGGTTCATCCAAAATAGAATGTTAAAAAGTTTCCAGATCTTCTAAATTCAGCCTATAAACCTCCCTCTAATCTATTTATTTTCATGTGAGCTTTGTGAATTATTTAGGATTTTCTGCATTTGAGAATTGCTAAAATCTCAAAATTTCAATATATATGCCCTTCATAGCCATAGGTGGAGGTCACTTTCCAGCAAATGTGTGAAACACAGGTCAAGTTTATCTAAATACTGTCAGATTCCAGAAGTCATCTTATCTAAGGAAAACTTAATTGTTTTTATTTTTAAATTATATCATCAAATTCTTTACAATTAATATTTTGAATGTTTTTCTACAAAAGGAATACAGGCAATATAATTTGTTAAGCCAGGCCCACAAACAAAACCAGGCCATGTAACTTTTGTGGATACCACTGCACTGTCCCTCAAAATTAGTCAGGACTAATATTATCCCTGTCACTGAGCATGCAATTTACCTCTAAGGTATCATTCAGGATAAAAGGAAAACATGATCAACTACAAAGCTCTTCCCATTAGCAAGGAAGAAGCACACTTGGACCTCAAGAGCAAGCAGCATCTCCTAACTCTGAATTGTTCAAATGTTTTACTACTGACTTTGGTAGGAATTCTTCTAAAAAAAAAAAAAGATTTACTTATTTATGCACACAGAACTGGGGTACAGGCCAGAGGTACAGGGGCAATGAGAGGATTCACAGAGACAGAGTGGGGAGCAGAACAGACAGATTGACAAAGTACACTGCTGAGGGGAGCAATGGACAGGTCAGGAGAGTTCTGCCATGCCATGTGAGTCACCTCCAGGGCAGGGAACCAAATTCACACTGAAGCAGCTAACTTGCAATACTGCACTTTAACCCATTGTGCCACAGGAAGGGCTCTTTGGTAGGAATTCTTTGGCTGACACAATATTCAGTATCCTCTCATGCCTGATAAAAACACTACTATATCAAAACTTTAGAAAGCAGTTTAAGAAGAAAAAACAGGGGTCATCAAGGTACAAACTCTGGACAAGGCAGGTAATTTCCCCTGCTTTTAGTCCTCTAGTTCATTGTAATGAATGGGCATTGATTTAATGGTCTTCACAGTGTCTGACTAATCATGATTTAAATCAAACAACCATTCCTTAAGCCCCATTATTTGTCAAGTATTGGGCAACATACTACACATCACTATTCTTCACAAAAATCTGGTGAGGTAGGTTTTTTTAGACCCATTTTATAGAAGAGGAAAATGAAGTTCAGAGAATTGAAGCTACTTGCTCAAAGTCTTACATGAAATGGCCAATGCAGAAGCTGAGCCTGAGGCCATCTGCTTAAACTCAGGCTCTTTCCTCCTACTCTCACTGGGTTTAGCCCATAGAGTCAAATCCTTTCACTTTCTCTGTGCTTCTCCCTTCAGGAGGTGTAATTGAAGCATACGCACCAGCAGAGAGTATCACCAGCTTGACAGTGGACATGCTGATAGAACCCAATGGAGAAGTCAGGGTGCTGTCCACAGGGGACAAGTTTCATGCCAAAGACATCTTCATCACCGCTGGTACTACCATGCCTCAGACCTCAGTGGATCCCCAAGTTCTCACTTCTTTATGCCTCCGAATTGGAAAAGCTTGTAAAATGAGAAATGTCGTTGGTTACTTTTCTATAAACCTGGTGACTTTTATTGATCCAATCACCTTGGAACAGCAGGTAAGTTGACTTCATGCCTTGTAAACTATTGAAATATGTAGAATCCATACTGTCCATGCCCATGCCACAGGAAGAAGAGGGAGACTCTCAGATTCACTGCAAGCTTACTCTGACAAGATTACTCTGTAAATTCAGCATTTACACCTTCCATGCCAGACTTTATGTCTGCAAATAGAGGACTAGGGTCTTCTCATTTGGGTACAAATGGAGTTTAAGTGCCTGCACCTCATCCCACATCACTCTGTTGAACAGGGCTCAATTCGGCCCATTAGCTCCACCAGGTCTTATGGTAAGACTATTTTATGCCATCAAGGGGTCAAACCTGTCTAGAATCTGTTCTTCAGTAGAAAGTCAGTAACTAAAAAGGAGTTAAGAGTCCTGGTTTCTGTTCCTTTTCTTATCAGTATTTACCAGCAATTCAGGTTGTCAATTTTTTCTTTTAAAAGATGTCCTGGAAAGTATTTCATAAATATTAAAAGGTCTAAGTAATAACATAGTGAACATCACGTGTCAAACCTAGCTCAAGAAGTACAGTGGTGCGTATCCAGTCTCCATTCCTGTAGACTCCTTGCCAGGCCTCCTAGGATGAGCTTCCTCCCAGAGGTAGCTCTTTCCATACATTTGGAGCTTTTATTCCTTTCCATATCATTGTGCTTTTACTGTGCACGGATGTGCCCATAAATAAATATAGTTCTATTTTGCATGTTCTTAAACAATTTATAGATTGGAGCATCCTATATATTATTATTCAACCACAATTGTATTTATTCAATGCTTCATCTGTTAGCACACGTGGGCACAGAGGTGGCTCTGATGTACAATATACTAGCTAGTAATTTTTAACCTTTCTTTATTTTGCTGCTTCTCTCCTCAAGTGTTAAAACTTGCTATTTGCTTCACAGGATTCATTTTTAAAATGTTCAGTTCCTCCTCTTTAGTATTGGGTCACCAGAACTCTGTCTAATGAAATGCCTTCCCTCTCCTGATATTCTCTGGCCATCCAGTGCTGAAAATATACTTTAGTTGTTTGATATTCATTATTCTCAGTTTTATGGTTCTCCATTCCAGTCAGATGATGGTTTCAGACTGAGGGTTTATGTTTTGGGCAGTTTTCAACTTGTTCAATAATCATTTTCCATTTGTCTTCCTAGGCCCGCCATCAGTTTTACATTCCTTTTTCAGACCCACATGTTGAGAGAGAAAAGGACAAACTGAATTGTACTCAGAAATCTGCCTGGGGTGGAGAGAGGACAAAAACAATGCCTCTGGTGAAAGAGCTAGGTGGCAGGGAAGTGGGCGGGAGCAAAAGCTGGTGAGGCTGTCTCCCCAAATGTTTTGTCAGGAGAAGGAAGAATTAAATCTGTTGTCCCTGTGAGAGTAGGGAGGATGAAACTATGGGGACAATTTTTTTTTTTTTTTTGCCTTGTAGTTTTTATTTCTTTGAGTTTAGGCATACGAATAACTGCATGCTACAGTGAAAGGGAACTTCTGCAAACAGAACCCAGCCAGACTTACCCCTGCCAGGCTGACCCTTCACTGTGCTGGTTTCATGTGCCACAGCAGCCTTTTCTCATCCAAACTCACTCTCATTTTTTCTATCATTTCCAACAAACATCCTTGGTCTCTCTAAATCCCTCTTACTCATTCTACTATCTCCTGCCTAAGGGCCTTTACACAGCTGCTTCTCTGGCTAAAATATTCTTGCCTCTTCTTTTTGACCTTGTTAACCCCCTTCCCATCCATGACATTTCAGTTCAAGCTACACTTTTGTAAGTGTCACACATCGGTGGTGTCAGTGACGAAACTGGCATGTTATCAAGCTCTTATGCTTACCAGTCTAACAGGTAAAAGAATGTTATCTTGTTTTCCTCAGTAATTATTAGATTACTAGTGACAATTAACATCTTTTCATATGTAATTGTCATTTCTATGACTTGTCTTCATTGCTTATCATATCTCCCCATCTTGAAATTGGACTAGCACAAATGCTGATTTGTAGATGTTCCCTATTTATTAAGGTACTCTTACCCTTTGAATTTGTTACATTTTGCAAATTTCTCCCAGATTATCATTTGTGGTACTTTTCCTTTTTTCTCTTTAATAGCTATTGTTTTCACTAAAATTATTATGTTTTCCTTTGTAATTGACTAATAATATTTTGTGGAAATATATTCCACAAGTGGAATATGCCAATGTCTTATCCTTCATCAATCTCTACACTCAAAACCACTCATCAATTTTTCCAAATCAACACGGTCATAGTCATCATTTTCTATTCCATTGTTCCTTCTATACCTACTAGCTGGCAGTCTATGGCGAGACAGTTTTTCTTCTCTATTATTTATTTGCATCTATTCCTGTGTATATGCTACTTTGAACTTGTAAGTTTCTATTCATTTCCATAAGTTATAGTTTAATGATTTCATTATTTTGATGCTAAAGTCGTCCCTATTTGTGTAGTATGGGGACCCTTCAGAGTGGGTCTTGTGTACTTTTGATGTGCTTTCTATCACCACAAGGTATTCTGAGTTCCTCTTACACTGAGCCCCACACCTAGCATCAACCAAGAAGTCTGTTAGGGAAGGATGCATTTAGCATCTGGGGTTTAATTGCTACATTGTTGCTGGAGTGTCATTGCTTTTGGTCTCTTTCAGTGGACAAAGTTAAGAAATATGGGTTTTATATGTGAACAATAACCACATAAATTTATACAGCAAGCATATATCACTATTCCTCTACCTATCAGGGAGAGAGAGAGAGACTGTGCGTGCGTGTGTGTGTTTGAAGTGAGCATAACATCAGAACTAAATCACTTGGCACTTTTTTCTTATCTCCTCCCAGTTCAAAAAAGAGCCTGCATCTCTTTACAGTCAGTATTTCCTTAGATTTGCTGTTGGGCTCTACATATTCAAGTCTCACAGTCTTCTTTGTAGTTTTATCTTTTTTTTTTTTTCCAGAAAATCTGCTTAACCTGCCCACCATAGCCTCTCTGCTTCCTTTCTTAACACAGCTTTCCTTGCTTTTTTTTTTTTTTAACTATAGAACTTTATGGGGTTGTTCCTTGCCTCCTTTCTTACAGAAAGTCTTTTAGGAACATTCACCATATTTGTGAAAGTACTATCAGCATGGAAAGAAGCTATGTGTATATTTTGCAACTATGATGTTCTGCCAATATCTCAATTCCAACTAATCCCTCAACATTATTTCCAAATTTCCCCTTTTCCACACTTAAAAGTAAATACCTTCTCCAACAGTAAAAAACCCTAGTCTGTTTATCTTCAGCATATTTGCCTATTTGCTTAATCAATTCATTTATTTTTTCAATCTCGTAACATGTAGTCTTCTTTACCGGCCACACTTTTGCTCCTGTAGTCGGATACAGAAGCTTATCGTTTGTGTTTTTAGTATATCTGTAATGCTCTTTATCATACTGAACTTTCAAATAGTCAAATGTAGGCCTTTCTCTAAATTACTTTATTACCTTGAGTTTTCACCTTTCTGGTCTTTAGTTTTCTTAGTTGCAAAATAAGTAGATTAACTTACTTGACTTCTCCCACACATCCACCCACCCGCCTTTCTTTTTATTAAATTAACATTATTTTACAACACTGTATAGATTTCAGGTGAACAGTCTCTCACCCCAGCAACTACATGTGTCACACCTCACCTACCACCAAATGTAGAGTCATCATCCACCACCAACCAACCTGTCTCCTTCCACCTAATCCAGCACCTTCTCTGTAACCATTCTGTTGTCAGAGTCTAAGGATGTGTTCTTCTTTTGTTGAATTAACTGCTTCTTTAAAAAAAAAAAAAAAAGATTTATTTATTTGTTCATACAGAACCGGGGTACAGGCCAGAGGCTCAGGGGCAGCGAGAGGCTTCACCAGAGACAGAGTGGGGAGCAGAACAGGCAGATCGACGAAGTACACTGCTGAGGGGAGCAGCCGGCGGGTCAGGAGAGGTCTGCCACGCCATGTGGTCACCTCCAGGGCAGGAGGGAATCGAACTCATGCGGAAGTGGCTTTAGCTTCTCAGCGCTATGCTTTAACCCACTGCGCCACCAGGGAGGGCCCTAACTGCTTCTTTTAAAAAAAAAATCACAAATGAATGAAATCCTACAGGATTTATCTTCCTCTTATTTCAGTTAGCATAATCCCCTCAAGGTCCATCCAAGTTAACACAAATAGTGAGATTTCAGCTTTGTATAACTGAGTAGTATTCCTTTGTACCCATCTTCTTAATCCATTCATCCATTGTTAGACATTTTCATAGTTCTCATAGCTTGGCTACTGTGAATAGTACTGCAGTGAACATAGGGCACGTCATACAACATATATCATATATGTCTGCAGCTTGCCAGGGTAAATCCCCAAAAATGAGGATACTGAATCATACGGAAATTTCTTTTTAGTTTTTTGTAGGATCTCAATGCTATTTTCCACAGTGACTGTACCCATTTACATTCTGTCCAACAGTGCACAAGTGTTCCTTTTTCTCCGTGTCCTTGCCAAGGTTTATTATTTCTTCACTTTTGTTAATACCCATTTGAACAAATGTGACATGAAATCTCATTGTGGTTTTGATTTCCCTAATGACACAGCTTACTTCATGTCTGAGGAAATCTCCAGTTTAAAAGACTTCTTATTTCAATAATAGTTTCAAAGTCCTTTTTTTATTCAAAATTTAATAATAGGAGTCTACATTTTAGCAATTATCACTAGTCACAAAGGCCTGTGTACACACATATTAATCAAAATATCAAAAATACTAAAAAAAATATTAAATGGTCCTCCCTGGTGGCACAATGGCTTAAAGCACAGCACTATGAAACTCTCCAAAGCCACTGCAGCATGAGTTCAATACCCAACCAGGGAGGTGACCCACATGGCACAGCAGACCTCTCCTGTCTCACCTGCTACTTCCCTCAGCAGTGTACTTCAGTTGATCTGCCTGTTTTGCTCCCCATTCTGTCTCTGGTGAATCCTCTCACCACCCCT